TGCAGACCGGGAGCCTTTAGGAATACTCCCCCACCCCCGCGCGAGTATCACGGGTCCTGCTTCTTGTACCTTCCTAAATTTTAGTCTGAAAATTTTGTCTCTCTCTTGAATGGCCACAATCATTGTTGTCTCTATTTGGCAAGTGATGGGAAACAAAAAGAGGTATGATGTACCTTTCTTCATGCATAACAAAAACATAGTATGTATGCTTATCCCCTGCATCTCCAGCACCAAAGAAGCCACCAGCATCAGATGTGGATCTGGAGAGTTCTGTTAGACACTCCATAGGACATTTCATGATTCAGTTTCAAAAACTAGAACTAAGAGGGACAAGATGAATGAGAGTTAGAAAATCTAGCTCTTGACCAAATACTGATGATTGGGTAGTGGAACTCTTAGGACGGCATCCTCAGGAGGATGAAATATTTACACAAAGAAATGCCTTATATAAATTCAGTGGCATGTGGGATGCCTTTCTGGAATTCTTGTGATAACAATTCTCTTACTGCAGTCCAACCGCCTGTTATTCTGCTGTTTGCTTAAGACGACATGGTGGCAGAAACTGCTGTTGAGTCACAACTGAGATATTCAGAAATGGTTTTCCATTGCCCAGTCTTCATGTCATGCCTCTGGTATCCCTTGGAGGTCTCCCATCCATTTACAAGCCAGGGCTGACCCTGCTTAGATTCCATGACCTGATGAGAGCAGGCTAGCCCAGTGACATATAATGTCTTATTTCTTTCCCTGCAGTCTCCCTCACCCCCTCATGTGGTTCCCTGCTTACCTGGATAATTGACTGAACTGTTGATTCACAGAGATCAAATAGCCAAGAATAAACATTAATTTTTAGGAGATTCTTCTCTTCTGAATTAATTTTGTATAAACCAGATAATGGGTTGGATACTATGACTGTGACAATTGGCAGCAGCTCTTACTTCTTTGGCAAAGAGGGCTTTTGCACCAGTGAAACTATTCACAGCGCAATTACACACTGGCAGCTAAAATGACCAAACTGAGGCTATCGTACTTGGATCACATGATGAGAAGACAAAAGGCACTGGAAAAGGCGATGATGCTAGCAAAAGTTGAAGGCGCCATGAAAAGAGGAAGACCCAACATGAGATGGACTGACTCAATAAAAGGAAGCCATGGCCCTCAATTTGCAAGAGAATGGATGTTAACAATAGGACATTTGGGGGGATATTAATTCATAGCGTTGCCATGAGTCAGAAGTGACTTGACTGTACTTAACACACACACACGCACACATTAGGGGAACAAAGTTGTAGGATAAGACTCACAGCACTGGAGATGGTCTTCCTGGATAACACTAGACTCCTTCTGGTATGGTTTCAGACCAGTCTACAGCATGGAGATGGCTCTGGTGGTTTTAAGCTAATGATGTCTGTTTAAATGTGGACAAGGGCCATACTTCTTTGTTCCTCTAACAGGATCTATTAGCAGCCTTTGATACAGCAGATCTTGTTTTTGTTTCTTTTTAGCCCCCGGAGGGGATTTTTTATTGCATTTTTTATAACACTACAAACTACAACAGAAAATGGGAGGGGGAACTACATTTATAGGATAAAGAAAGATACCCACTACTGACTATAAACCCAAGAGAGGAGATCATCCCACCATCTTAACCATAGATTTAGTCTTAATCCCGTTAATCTTACTATCAACTGAGTCAAGTTTAACATATCTTTTTCAAATCTTAAATTTAACTGTCATACAGAAACACCCCAAAGAATCTCACTTCAACATTTTTTTAAAGGCACAATTCAGAGTCCTTCAGCCTTTACTTTTCCTTGCCTAGTTTCTTCGGAAGCTTATAAGGACTTTTAGGGGCTGCCGCCCCTTTCTCTGATAGAGAGTCCTCCCCGGAGGATTCCGAGTCCAGCTCACCATTGGACTTACTGTCCTCCCCTTTTTCTCCTTCCTTCCCTGGCCCTCCCATCTGGACTCTTAAAAATTCCCGTGCTTTCTGGACAGAGTCAATCTTTTCTTTTTTATCCTTGATTTTGAAGGTTACGCTTTCTGGAGTTAATCATCTATATCCAATTGCGTTTGTCTGTAGAAAAAGAATTAATTCTTTATATTTTTTCTCCTTTGTCTTATTTCAAATGGAATGTCTTTTAACATTCTGATGGTATTCTCCCCCACTTTCAGGGAATACCACTGCTTTGACCATGCGGACTTTTGCTGGCAGGATAATGTCTCTACTTTTTATCGTGCTGTTTAGGTTCGCCATCGCTTTCCTCCCAAGGAGCAGGCGTCTTTTAATTTCATGGCTGCTATCACAGTCTGCGGTGATCTGGGATACCAGGAACATGAAGTCTGTCACTACTTCCACGACTTCCCCTTCTATTTGCCAAGGAGTGATGGGGCCAGATGCCATGATCTTAGTTTTTTTGATGTTGAGCTTCAAGCCCACTTTTGCCCTCTCCTCTTTTACCCTGAGCAAGAGGCTCTTTAGGTCCTCTTCACTTTCTGCCATTAGAGTGGTATCGTCTGCATATCTGAGGTTGTTGATCTTTTCCCCAGCAATCTTAATTCCCACTTGTGATTCATCCAGGCCAGCATTTCGCATGATGTACTCTGCATATATATTAAATAAGCAAGGCGACAATATACATCCTTGTCGTACTCCTTTTCCTATGCTAAACCAATCAGTTGTTCCATATCCAGTTCTAACTGTCGCTTCTTGAAACCCACTCCAGTATTTTTGGCAAGAAAACCCCATGGAGAAGGGCATAATCAAAAACAAATAAGTAAAGCTTACTTCATTAAAAAGCAATCTTATTGAGTCAGAGAAACGGTCCATGGTGCTCAGCTTACATTCCGAGATGCAGAACAGATGTTGAAGATATTTTAAAACAGAATGTATCATTTACTGGGTATTCCATTTCCTATTCTCTTGACTGACAAATTTCATGTACTCTGGATACTTATTTTTCTATTATTAAAAAAACCAACATATTTGGGATAGGACTGGGCGGCCCTGTGTCTAATCATGACATGAAACGATGAAAAGCGTGACATGATGTCATCAAGATGGGGGTAGCCATGTTAGTCTGAAGCAACAGAACAAAGTTAAAGGTACCACTGGACTCAAACTCTGTTATGATGTCATCAAGGTATGCATTTCATTTCCACATATAAAAGGGACAGGAGGGGAACTAGTCACAGGGCCTCTGTGCCACAAGAAGTAATGCGAGATGGACAATTTTCCACTGCTATACCACACACTTCTAAAACTGCATTGTTTAATAACTTAATTAAGGTCACAGGGAGTGGAAACACCAACAGGGCAACTGGGCAGTTTCAAAGTTGTACTTAATTTTTTTTCTCAAGTGTCTGTTCCTAGGGAGCATGTATATCATACTGCGAAGAAATCAATGCAACTCCGCATCGTGAGGGGTTGGCGTGATGTGGTCTCTTATAAAGTTTCATTATTTGCCCTTGCTGCAAAGAATATACGCTCCAAGGTGGCATCGGGAAGGGACATTATTTAGGCTACTGTATTAAATTAGTCATATTTTGTTAACGATCTTTGGTATTTTTGTATATTCTGACTCTAACCTATACAGTTAGTTCACAATTTGTGTTTTGTAATTTTGTAACGGCCAATGGCAAATTACAATAAACTAAACTGAAACGGATGTATATCATACACAACCAAGTGTACTTTGATCACACCCGATCAAACATTTTTAGGGCCGAGGTAAAATTTTGTACTGAGAGCAAGCTTGGTGTAGTGGTTAAGTGCATGAACTCTAATCTGGGAGAACTGGGGTTGATTCCCCACTCCTCCACTTGCAGCTGCTGGATGACGTTGGGCAAGCCACAGTTCTGTCAGAGCTGTTCTCTCAAGGACAGTTCTGGAAAGAACTCTCTCAGCCCCACCTACCTCACAGAGTGTCTGTTGTGGGGAGGGGAAGGGGAAGGAATTTGTAAGCCATTCTTCTTCTTCTACTGCCCCCAACTTTATATTTTGCCACAGATTGTAAATTTAGGGGCTCCTTTACAGCAACTTTTTGTAAGAGCTGTGAGAAGGGGTGGAGCATTTCACCCACTTACTGGAGATTATGACAGCATTCTCCACTGCTGCTAGGAGCTCTTGCTCTGTATTTAAGTGAAAGTTGCAAGTGAGGGCGAGAAGCCGTGGCCTCACTCTGTTTCAGCTTCTTAATTCCAAGGGTTCACCAATCCCATCCTTCTGCAAAAGACCTGATTCCCCCCTCATGCTGATCCTGGGACAGTATCTCTGGGGATATCTGAGGGTTCAGTGGGTAGGGGAGCCACGGAAATCCCACTTGGTGGTCTGATCCCTGGAAATTTCCAGTGAATCCAAAGCATGGGTGAGGACAAACCTCCTGCTGTCACTCTGGCACCTTTGGACTTGAAATGGAAGTGAAAAACAGTACCCAGCAACAACAGAGAGCACAACTGCTGCCACCAGGACACAGAAAGGAAGAGAGATAGGTGAGGAAAGAGTATTCATGAAAATCTTTCCTACTCTCTCTCAGAAGGCCCTGTTTAAGAGTTGCAAGCATCTAGCGTGGCCTTAAGTATTCCTGCTCAGTTATTTTTGGCTATCAAGAAACGTATTATGCTGATATGCTTTGTAGAAATAATGTGGTGTACTTATTTGGTTTTTTTTACTATATGTAAGTGAAATAAACATGCTACTTCCAGTCCCAGTCACCCGACACCAGAAAATTTCTCTAGGAAGCTCACATCACTAGCAATGCCCAATTCCATCCATATACAGAGCAGTCACACAAGTTAAATGCTACCTAACTATAACCACCACCAGCAATCTCTATCAACCATCACAAAGCAAGACGGAATTAAAACGCAACAATGCTATTATCCATACCTGTTACGCTATAAGGCAATGTAAGTTTTCTGTTCAATACTTATTTACGAAAAAATTATAAAGAGAATTTAAAAAACAAACAAACAGGGATTATAAATATATCAGTTGTACTCACCTGTATTACTTCTATCCCCCTTTTCCTGGAAAAAAGCAAAATAAAAATAAATTATTAACAGCAAAAATATAAAACATTATATGTTGACATTAAAGATGGACACAGACCAGGCTGGGAAAAGATACTTCACATCTCTAAAAGCTGGCACCAAATTCTTGGTTCAATTCCATGTTTAGGCCCTAGAGCATAATTTCAATTGGCAGGCTCAAGTCAAAGCTTCAGAAGTGGGCCCTGTCCTGGATAGCCCAGGCTAGCCTGATCTCATCAGCTCTCAGAAGCTAAGCAGGGTCGACTCTGGTAAGTACTCGGATGGGAGACCTCCTTGGAATACCAGCAGTTGGGAGGCGGGGGCAGGCTTTATTCAGCCACCAGAGATCACCATGACTTCAAGGCGCGCATGCACACACACACACACACACACATGAAAAATACAAAAAAATACCCCCAAAAAAAGTTTCAGAAGTGTAAGATTTCCCCTACACTAAACCTGGAATTAAAACATTCAGAAACACAAAATACTAAAGTTATTTTAGACCTCCAAAATTCTTAATTTGAAGGCTGTATTTCTATTATGTAAATGATGGCAGTATAGATGTTTGGGCCCGGGCTAGATCTTGGAAGCTAAAAAGGGTTGGCCCTTACTAGTACTCGGATGGGAGACCACCAAGAAGTCCAGAGTAGCTATACAGAGGCAAGTGTGCGGACTCTAATCTGGGAGAACCAGGTTTGATTCCCCACTCTTCCACTTGCAGCTGCTGGATGACCTTGGGCAAGCCATAGCTCTGATAAGAGCTGTTCTTGAAGAAGAGCAGTTTCTGTCAGAGCTCTCTCAGCCCCACCTACCTCACAGGGTGTCTGTTGTGGGGAGGGGAAGGGAAAGGAGTTTGTAAACCACTCTGAGACTCCGAGTGAAGGGCGGGGTATAAATCCAATTTTCTTCTCTTCTTCTTACGTCCTATTTTCACTGGCTTGTTAGTACTTGTGTGGGCATAATCCAAATTCAACACACACACACACACACACACACACACACAACCATCAATCGTGAAGGGGCACAGGTGTGTAAAATTCAAAAGTTCTGTCAAAAATGCCAACATCCCCCCCCCCGATACAAAGTATCAGGGCAATGGTTCTCAAGGCATTTTTATTTATCTTGAAGAGAGACATCGGGCTCGATAGGTACATACCCTAATCATGGGCATCACCCCATACTGATGCTGACAGGCTCTTATGTGCCCAGAAGTTTCTAAACCACAATCAAGTGCCTTACAGAGGCATTACAATACTTTCCTCTTGGACTTACAATTCAAAACAGGCAGATTGCATCAGGGCCTTGGCAGCATGCAAATACACGTGCAGCCCTCTTGGAGACCTTGCATGAGCTGTGAGGCCTTGCTGAAACCTCAACTATCTTGGCATTTGGTTTTAAAGTTTTCCAGAACTCTTGGGGGCGACTAGAATAGAGGTGACAGATTCAGATACCGGAAAGCAGTCTGGTCATACTTTCAAACCTCATAAAGGAAGGGCTGAGTCATTATTCTGGACACCAGGGATTAACATTACAAGAGTTTTTGGCCACCACCCCAGCTGGCTAGAAAACAAGTGTTATTTAGAAGGGACTTATCACGCCTAACATGCCCAGGATTGTTCCTCCAACATGAACTGCCAGACTCGGGAAACCTAAACCTGAGATATACGGGTCAGGGAGACAGACAACCTCAGAATGGCTCTCAATATTTTTCTGTGGCATTTGAGCAAGCTAAAATTTGTCAGTCTAATCCTATATATCCCACAGTACCCCATTTCGCCATGAATGACACTGGCAGAACTGAACACACCCGAACTGTAGCCACTTGAAACACTTACATACACAGATTTTCAGTACATCAATAGGAAAGGCACAAAATTCCTGCCTTTGGCAAACACACGCACAGTGTATGCCCTTGTTACACAATTAAGTCCCAATCTAACTTTCAAAGAAAGCAAAATACAAAAATGCATCATATAAGGCCACCATAAACTTAAGAGGTACAGCTTCCTGAGGAGTTTAAATTTCTTTGTCTAGGAGAAATTTCCACTGGTCTTTAGGACAGCAGGGATATTCTGTATTTAACCAGTGTCTTACCAGACACATTGGCTTTATGATCATCCAGCTCCCATTTGGCAGTTTCTCTTAAAGTGGACAAAAAGATAAACAAGACATTTTAGCAGAGTAAATCTGAAGTTCCTTGGCCAGCAAGGTTCTCGTTTCTGCAGCAATGTTAACAAGCCAAAAGCACTACACTTCTCTTTTGTGTTTATACATAACGGCACAAGTTACCCTGCAACTATCTGCACTGGAGTTCTGCTATGAGATCCTTAAGAGACCAGCTCCTTCACAGTTACAGCACCTTCTATGCTACCTGTTATACTGCTAGATGTAATTATGTGGAAAATGGAACAACAGGAAAACCCAAAATTCAAGCAGGCATTAGGTCAAGAGAGGTCTATTATGACTCATCTCTGCTTAACTTAAAGGTCTCCATTCTGCTGAAAAGCTACCTGGTTTCCCTGCCTGCAGATGAAGGGCTGACTATTTGTAACACCCCATGCTATAATAATCAAGCAATCAGGGGGTGGGGAGATACTCCAGGTTCTGAGTGGTTCTCTTATGGCAGTACACGTGAAACAGCACCATAGACAGACCACAATCCAACATGCTGATCAGTTGTAACATGCTTCTTGTCCAGTCATGCACAATGATACTCAAATTGCTTCTCGTAAGACCCAAATGCAATCCAAAGGAAGCCCCTCTGTTGCTGAATGAGTATCTCACTAAGGCGATTAGACTACTGCTCCGCAAGAAAACATGTCCCAGGTAGTGACTACAAAATACAACATGATAGAACTTCTTTAGTTTTCAGTCTATGCTACTCTAATGTAAATATACCCCCCCGGGGGGGGGCTAAATTTTGATTAGGCAATGGTGAACTTCTAAAAGTCAAAAGACTAGAATTTCCAATAAAGAGCAAGCTAGGATACCTGGAAGATAAACACATTTTAAAAACTTTTTTTTTTCATTTTTCATTGTGCATGTGGGGGGGGGGCACCTGAAAGTCATGGTGACCTCTGGTGGTGACTGACCCCTACTGGGTGCCTGGAGGATATTCAGAGAGGTGGTTAAATAAAGCCTGTCCTTACCTCCCGACTGCTGGTATTCCAAGGAAGGTGTCCCATCTAGGTACTTGCCAGAGTGGACCCTGCTTAGCTTCCGCGATCTGATGAGATTGGGCTTGCCTGGGCTACCCAGGTGAGGGCAAAGATGAACACATTTACTGTGCTACAGGTACCCCACCCCCCACACACACTAAATTCAGAATTTTGTTTCCCACAATTCCTGTTTTTTGGCTAGCATCAGGCCTAGGCAGCTCACATTTCAGAGCTGATCTGTTTCAACAGGAAAGCTCTGCCAAAATCCCAAACACTCTTTGTAAATGGAGGAGGAATTAATATATTCTCCTTAATGTTTTCCTGTATACACACAGACATGCAATCCACCCTAAAACCTCTCCCATATAACAACACAATAGTAAAAGAGTAAGAATAGATAGAAATAAAACAGACTACTAAAAATTGAGGGTGGAGATCAGAAAGGTACAAATGATGAACCTTTCCAATATTTTGCACGGAACGTTTAATTTACCAAAGCATATCTGAACCTCAAAACCATTCTAGCTTGCCAAGGGTTGAGTGACATTATACTTAGTTCAAGTTTGCTACAAACACTGTCAGCTCATCAAGATCCTGCCAGTTTTAATAGCAACTATGTACCATACAAGCAATTAAATCAATTCAAAACGGCCCCTTTGTGCTTATTCTCAACAGCAGCGACCTTTCTAGGACTGCTGTAAGGCACGCACATGGGTGATTGTATGTGTGGAAACACAGCCCATACACATCTACCTCGCTAAGAATCAAAGCTAAATGAATTTATCGGCAACGCAATTCTCTGAAAGTTTCAGACGAAAATATTGATCCAGCCAACAACAGAACCCAGTTCTGACCCAAAACAAAAAAAAGCATTTAACATTTGAAAAGTTTCTTTACATCCACACTGGCGGATGTGGAAAGTGCCTTCAAGCAGCAGCTGGCTTATGACAACCCTGTAGGGTTTAAAAGGTAAGAGATGGTTTGCCAGTGCCTGCCTCTGCTTAACAACCCTGGGCTTCCTTGATGGTTTCCCATCCATGCACTAACCAGGGACAACCCTGCTTAGCTTCCCAGATCTGATGAGAGGAGGCCAGTCTGGGCCACCCACATTAGTATCACCTAACTTGATCTCCTTCTATGGGGTCAGCTCTGTAAATATAAATTAAAAACACACATATACAATCTCCCTTTCACTAAAACAAGAGCTGATAAATACAGGCTTGGATCCTAAATAATCCAATCAAAATCATGCTAGAGAAGACAGCCTTCCCTGCCTTCCCCTATCACTGCAGTCTTCTGTGCAACCCCCACCCCCGCCCCCGATTGTGCTCCCAGTGTGGGGACCAAACTGGGAGTCTTCAACTGGTAGGGAAAACCAGCAGAAGTCTCCCTCTCCTCTTCCACAGATAGAAAAGCCATCCCAAAGGAGGAGTTCTGTTGTGCTACAGAACAGCATGTTAAGATCCAAGCCAATGAATGCAGAAAACCCTCATTACAAACTTAATGTGCATTTTCAACTGATCCCTCCACCACCACCCACTTCTATACAATTGCCAGCAAGTTCTATACAATTGCCAGCACACCGAAGGTTACAAATTGCACCCCTTGCTGTCTAGTATGCAGACTCTCTTCTACTCAGAAGTTTGCCTTTCACTGTTTCCCCTGCAGTAGTTGCTTCGTGATCACCAAGCTGAAGCCAGGGGAGGCAGCAAAGAAGTTACAAGAATGAGGAGTCAAGTTACTAGCCTTGCCTCCTCTCTAGCTCTTTGGGAAAGGGCTCCCCAAGGAGCTAGACTTATGAAATTCTAGACTCTTGACACAGTGCCTGACTTGGGT